AAAATTTTAAACTCACAAATTTTCCTCTCTACAATTTTCTCTCTCTACAAATTCTCTACACTTTTGACTACAATTCCTTAACCTTTGCCTATACACCCTTAACCAAATCTCACCATCTTTGAGCTGAGGTATTTTTGAGCTTGGTTTGAGCTCTAGAGGGTATTGTTTGCTTGGTTTTGTTGCTTGGAGTTGCTCTTCTCTTCAAAGGTATAAGACTTTGCTTGTAGCTTTGTTTTATTTGCTTTTATTCCCATTGTTTTTTTCCATTGTTTTAGGCTGTCAAAACTTTGTGTTTGTTATGCTGAAGCTTGTGTTTAAGGCCATTAAAGGTTGAGGGGTTGATAGCCCTTCTTTGTACCTTGTTTTGGAGGCCTTTGACCTTGTGTTTCCCACCCTTTTACTATATTTTTCCAAGCTTTTAAACACTGATTTTCAGAGCTATTTTAATGGCCAAAATCATGTTTTGAAGTCCAAATTTGGAGGGGTTAGCCTCCCCTTCTTGTGTCTTGCTTACTAGCCTAGGTTGTGCCATGTTTTAGCATTTTAATCTAGCTTGTTTTAGCTCAATTCCATCATGTTTTAGGACATATTTTAGCCTACTTTAGCACTATTTCGGGCTGTAGTTTGCATTTGAGCTTTGTTTTGCATGCTTCTAGTGTAATAGTCCTCATAAGCTTGATGTTTTAGGTCTTAGACATCATTTATTTGAGTTGATAGCACTTATTTTTGGCTTTTTGTACTTCATTTTAGCATTAATAATCGTTGCAACCTCCCTCCTTTCCCAACTTTTAATTTTTCTTTGAAAGTGGTTTCAAGTCATTTGCTTGCCAAAGTATGAAATTGAGGTTTCATACTTAATCGTTTAATCCCTTAGGGTGTTCATTACCAATGGTATGCTGCTTCTTTCATACCCAAAGCAACTTGTGTTTTGAGCCCTCTTTCCAGTAGAGGACTTTAATTCACCTTTTGGACATAATTGGATTAAAGAATGGTTGGTAAATTAAAATGAGTTACTAAAACTTGGGACTAAAAGTGAGCAAGATAATATTTGGTTGTGTTCAATTGGACGTAATTGAACACATGGAAGCTTGAACCATTTCATACTTGTTAGTGATGAAATGATTCAAGTCTCCAAGGTCAACTTTTTCCCTTGATCATTTATGAAAGGGAGAAGGCTTGCGTCTTGTTTTGCATTTATTGAACTTGCACACTTGGTTTCACAAACCATCATGCAATGAAATTGCATTCATTGATGGTTTGTGAACCAAAGTTTGCTACTCCTTTGATTTTCCCCTGAAAAGGAGGGGTAGGTTGTGTAAACAAGCCCTTGAAATACAATGTATATGCTTTGTTTGTCCTCTGTTGCAGCAAGATGAATTTGTGTATCAGTGGCCGGCAGACCACCATCCATGGCCGGCAACCTTCAACCATGGCCGACTGGTGGCCGGCAACCTTTACCAGTGGTTGGCCAGCCACTGATGCAAAACTCAGTAGAGTTTTGATAAGGTAGAGCAGACTGAGCAGCAGTGTTGGTGTTCAACTGCGCAAACAGAGGCATTCGGAAGCAAAATGGTGGTCTTTTCGGGTGGAAACCGAGCATGCGCATGCACATGCACATCTCTCATTTCCCGAGGCAGAGTAGTTAATTGCTTAGTTTAATTATTAATTACAATTGTGTTGTAATTCTTTAATTAGTAGTTAATTGCTTAGTTTAGTTAGCTAGTTAGCTTAATTCGTTCGGACTCTCCTTCGTGAGAGCACAAATGTTGTAATAATGTGTAGGTTTTCCAACCCTACGTCTTTCTCCCTTTTATTTATCTGCTTATGATGGTTAGATTAGGGACATCACATTTTAATTAGCATATCGCATGTTTACATCTATTTGTATTGCACACACCAAGGCTCGGTTCATCATTCAAACTTGCATTGTTGTTTATTACCTTGTTGAATACATGTTTAAATGCATGCTATGAAATTGTTGCAAACAACATGTTAAGTAGCCGAGCCTATTTTAGTTGCATTGTTGCATGTGTTGCATTAGCTATCTTGTATAGTTAGGTATCATGCATATTTTTTTAACTTGTTTGTTTTTATCTTAGCTTAGAGTACTAGGTGAGTTTTTAGTGCTTTAGCATACTTGCATGAGTATGAGTAATTGGCATGACTAGCATGCTTGCCATGAGGCTAAGTGCTTACTTATTAAACTATTTGAATGCCTATGGATGAAGGCTTGTTGCTAGAATTTGAATGATTCAATGAATGTAAGTTTAAGCCCACATTATCAAGTGGCAAATTCACAAACTTTAAGCCCACTTTGTTAAGTGGCAAAATCAAACTGTTTTCGAAAAACAAACATAAAATTGAATTGTTCCAATTCGAGCAAACTAGTCTATACCTTGTGTGCGTATATCACATAGTAAATGCTAGCCTAATAAACCGGAACAAGAACATATAATGTTGATAAAAATCATATCAAGATTAGTAGAGGCCGATCTTTGATCCGACGAGTGGGGGTGCTTAATTCATGATTTTTCCCCTCTTGTATCTAAGTTCTCAAGCTAAGACAATCTTGGTGATGACGGACACGTGGCCTTTGGCACGAGTCATGAATTTCCTAAATTTTTCTAAAATAAAATATTTAGGTGACGACTTTGTATCTGGAAAAACAGTCCATTTTTGGCAATTTGATTCAAAATCGATTTTCCAAAAGATTTGTTGGATTTGGACTCTTTGGTATTTATCAATTTCACATTGCACTTGTGAGATTAGATTCAAAACCACAAGAGTCCGAACTGCACGGCTTATTTCGAACCTCTCAAAAGAGGGGGCGCGAAAAAGTCGAGCTACACATATGGAACCATTTTTTTTTATTAGAAGTTTTCTTTACTGTTTGTGTACGCTGGTAAATGGGTGGTGATATCGATTTTTTTCATGGCTTCATGTCTACTTCATCTTATGAAAAAAGAAAATTTTCAAATAAAAGAAAAGAAAGGGAAATATATGTACGAATCAAGTTTAGATTATGTATGGTGCAAAAGAAAAGAAAAAGGATAAAAACATGGATAAAAATAGAACTATAGTTGCAACTAGTTGAGGTTTTTGTTTTTATTTTTTTTTAATTACATATATGAAATGTGTAATATTCATTATATGTCTTACCTGGTTCAACATAAAAAGACATGTACATTTTAATACATTTACTATATAGGTGACATGTGTTGTTTAGTTATACATATTGGTTTGTGTACTTAGGTAATCTGTGCTTGGGTAATCACTAATTTGATACATGAAAGGCCTATGGGTACCAATGAAAATGCTTGACCAATGTAGTAATATATATGCTTCATAAATACAGTTTTTTTAATCCACAAGATATTATTTTCTTAAATCATAAATACATAAGATTTGCCTCTAAAGATTGTCTTCACAATAACTTTTAAACACAAGAAACAAACAATTTAAAAAAAAAAAAGAGAAAAAAAAGAAAAAGAAAAAATGTTGTGAAAATAACATTGTGAGGCTAAGATGCCACATATTCCGTTAACTTTGAAATCTTTTTGCAATTGAGAGAACTAAAAACTCTACCATAAACAAAAAAAGGTAAAAATTTACTAACTGGATTGTTTGCACTCACAAAAATCTAGAAATAATTAATTATTGTTAATACAGTTTGAATGATAACAACTACAAATGAGAAAACAAAATGTACAATTCATCTTCTTAAAGTGGAAAAAAATCTGGTAGATCACACCTTGCACATCTTCGTAAATTCTTTCTCCCAATTTTAAGTTAATATAAAGAGGAAAAGATCAAGTTGGTAGATCTCATGCATCTGCAAGACATCTTTGTAAACACTTTCTCATGTAAAGTGGAAAAAGTTCAAACCGTTACATTACATTACTTGCGTCTTGCATATCTTTGTAGATTCTTTCCTACCACTTTTATTTAATGTTAGACTAGAGCTAAATCCAATTGTACTTATGGAGATCTTGTTGGGATAGATTATATTTTTCCACATCTTTTCAATGGCATGCCCTTTTGAAAGGTATTTAAGAGAGCCATTACTTTTTTAACCATCATATTTATACCGATGCAAGTATCGCTATATTAAAATATTTGATTATATCCTATGTTATTGAAGCTCTTTCTTCTTGCTAGTATTGTTGCTTAGCATTCAAGGACGATATTTGCTTTTACGGGAAAACAGGTACTTCAATTCAAGTGTGATCTTTTCAACCTTGTAACAATAAGTATATTCAATATTTTTTGCCTATTGTTGTTTGTTTTTTGTTATATATTTTAAGCACTTTTTTTCCTCCAATGCACCGCCATCTTTTCTCTCCATCTTTTCTCCTACAAAACGAGAGGGATAAAACATGTTGTTTGGATTTAAATCCACTTATATCAGGCATATTAACATTTTATTAACCTCAACATAAACCATTGCATCGAAATTACAAGTGTTTTATTTTTTATTTCTAATCATACTATGTGTTATATTGAGATACATCATTTATTGCTTATTCATGATTATGATCTTTCAACTAAATTATAGATCTATTATTTAGATTAACTTCAACATAAAGCGTTGTATCAAAATTCTCGTGGTACATTTTTTGCTAGCATGAGGTTATTTCTTGTGACAAGTGTTTTATTTTTTATTTTTAAAATTTTAATGAAGAATCATACTACGTGTTATATTGAGATATAGCATCTATTGCTTATTCGTGATTATCATCTTTCAACTAAATTATAGATCTATTGTTTAGATTAATCTCAACATAAACTATTGCATCAAAATTCTCTTGGTACATTTTTTGCTAGCATGGGGTTATTCATTGTAACAAGTGTTTTACTTTTTATTTTTAAAATTTTAATGAAGAATTATACTATGTGTTATATTGAGATATAGCATTGGTTTCTTATTCATGATTATGATCTTTCAACTAAATTATAGATCTATTATTTATGATCATATAGAAAAGAGATTTGTGAGAAAGATGGCTTTTAGAATGGGCAGTTCAAGTTCAAAGAGTGTGAATAAAAGTGGAAATATGAGGATTGATGGAACCAACAGTAACTTCACAGCAGGAAAAAGGTTGTGTGTGCTCATTGTGGATGATGACCCTGTAATTCAAAGAATCCATAGTGTGTTATTACGTAGATTTGGATTGGAAACCCAAGTAGTGGGAAATGGGAAAGAAGTTGTTGATTTGTATCGCTCAGGGGCATCATTCCATTTGGTCCTTGTGGACATGGAAATGCCAATCATGGATGGTCCAAAGGTTAGTTTTCTATTTTTACTATTATTGTTTTCCTTTCTTTTTAATTTTTCTTCTTCTTCTCTGCAAACTTAAACAATATTTTGCTATGTTATATAAGAAGATATATCAAAAAGAATGCATATATTACCTTACAATTTTATATATTTATTTAGGTTTTGCTAACAAAGAAAAAAAGGTAAAAGTATGGTAATTCGGTTCACCTCAACTTACATATATATGAATATATATGAAGTATTGATGCTTTAGGAAAATAAATCATTTCTTTTATTATCTTTAAAGAACAAGAGTTCATCACCAACATTCTTAAAATGATCTTTCATATCACTTGATAAGAATGAGATTTAATTTGCATAATTTAGTATTCACAAAATAAAAGAAAAAGAAAAGGAACACATACATTGCATTTCAGTTATATTTTTTTCTACTTGTAGATTTGTATTTCCATTGTTCTTCCCGTCATCTAGAAGTTGATAAAAGAAACAAACATCAATTACAGATAATTATTGTACATAATGTGGGAATGAAAATTGAAAAGTTCATAATATTGATTGATTCATCATGGGTGAGTTAATGCAACAAATAAATAGCCAAATGGTTTCACATTTTGTTCTTATAATGGCATTTGAAAGTATGTTTTCTGCAAGTTAATAATTGTTGTTAATCATTGTTGATTGGACTTAGACAATAAGAACAAACTCTCTAAATTTACTGTTCCCTTGGCTTGTTGTATTCTGTTCCCTTGATTATTTTAGTATAACTCTTTTTCTTTGTCGATCTAAAAGCAATGACACATTTATAATTTCAAGAATTTCGTACACTACATACAAAGTTGTAATTTCTATACACTCACACTTAACTACATACGATAAAGTTTGTATTTACCTCAACTAAACCTAGCCTTAACTGTAATTGAAATCCACTAATAAAAGTACAAGTTTCTTTTACACTAGACATTTATAGAGTGATCATAATTGCATGAAGTAAAATACCTTAGTCTATTTCTCTATCCCCATCTCCCAACTAAATTTAGCTGTTTGTATCATATTTCAAATGTATTTTATAGGCAACAAGGGAGCTTCGTGCCATGGGAGTGAATAGCATGATTGTTGGGATGACTTCACGTGATCAAGACTCAGAGAAGCTTGCATTCATGGCAGCTGGTTTGGATGATTGTCATGCGAAACCGTTGACTGTTGATACAATTACTTCCCTTCTACAAGAGCTTAACAAGAAACATTGATTTGCTTACTCAAATTAAAATATTTAGTATAAAATAATGTGATTCGTGATCACTTCATCATGAGTTACTCTTGTAGGTTATATTAGTTTTGTCTTATGAGTTAATTGTTGTTAGTGATGGGAAAAATAAAATTAAAGAAACAATATTCTCTTATTGCCATGTAAGTATGCTAATGCAGATGAGTTATTCTTCTTTAAATAAAAAACATCATCTTAATTGATATCGTAGTAGTATTTTGTAATTAAAAAACATAATAATAATTTCTTTTTTATGTTCTGAGAAAAATATGAACAAAATGAGCCGAACAATTTTGTGCCGAACAATTTTGTGTAGATCTTCTATGCCAAATATTTTTTTTATTATTATTTATCAAAGCTGGTGTTGCTTATTTGGGTAATAAGGATGTTAGCAACTTTTTTTCATCATATAAATGTAAGAATTTCAAAACAAAGGTCTATCCATTATCACTTTCCTAAAATTCCCAATGAGAAAATCATGGGGATAAGAAACATCTATGTCAACCTGTATAATTGGCATTAGCAAACTGATTTTTTTTTTACCATACAACATTGGGCATTGGCATTTACTCTTATTTGAAGTCCTAGTCCTTTTCGACCTTGACCTTATTATAGCAAGTAATTGGAGAATGGAGAAGAAATATGATGATTAGATTACTTGTTTTCTTTATTTATCTAGTGTAAGAGTTCAATTCTAACTAGGTTTGGTAACCCTTAGGCAAAATCTATGTGATTTCTAATTGCGTATTGTAATTGTAATTACTTTTAGAAGTCCAAATTGAGTTAAGTTAGTGCAGTTCAAATGGATTTTGGATGGAAATATATTTTGGTATCAACTTGGTGTGCAAACAAGTTAAATAATTGTTAAATACAAGTTAATAATGCATCAAATTATGTCAAAGGATGTAATTGGTATTTTCGCAAAAATCTTGGCAAATCTGACTATGATCATTATGCTCAATTTGCAGTGTGATCAAGTGAGCTTTCATGGGCTTGGGTGAGAGGTACTACTTCTGGCAAATGTAAGTTAATTTATAACATAGAAACACCTTAAAAGATCTGTAAATCATCTTAGGACACGTCAACTATAAATAAAACTATAAGGGAGGATCAAAACGTGCCTATAAAACATTGAACCAGTCATATTATGACATTTTGTTTTTGGGTCTGCTCGAGCGGGGAATCCGTCGCTCGAGCATGGATTTGTTGCTCCCAGCACTTTGTTGCATTTCAGGCGTGTCCGCTCGAGCGTGTGATGTCACACTCGAGTGTGAAATGCTAGCATCCAGTAATTATACTATAGCTCTACAGAAACCTCTGAGACTCTTCTTTCTTCGCTCGAGCGGGGAAGTCGTCGTTCACACAGTAATTTTATATCATTCTTACACCTTCCTTTTTCTATTCTTGATCTCCTCTCCCCCCTCTCTTGGAAACCCTAAATTCCTATCATCCAACACCTCTCCTACCATAGAAATCCGCCCGAAATCACTTGTTAGGAGCGAAATACACTTAAGGATCATCGTTTTCTACTGATTAGATCGTGGGTTTGCAGCAGAACCGTGAAGGAGCTTGGATTTTGGCCTGTCATTTGAGGTAGGAATACCTTTATCTTTGTATTTCCTCTTTATTGATGGGATTTCATGGCAATGTATGTGATGTGTTAATAAATTTGGGGATTTCATTAGCATAAACCTTTACTACATATATCTAAGCTCTTGTTTTACAATTTGTTTGAAATTCCACAATTTTCTTCTCTAATCACTAATGTAAATGTTGTTAAAACCTAGATTGTTGACAAGAGAGAGAAAACCCCCAAAATTTATAAAACCCTAAGTTCTATTTGGATAGGAATTACCTGATATAATGAACTTTTCCTTGATTCATGGAAATTGAGGAAGACTGAAAAGAAGAAATGTGGGGATTGATGTAGTTAAAGAAATGGTTACTAAAAGGTTGTTGTTTGTTAGGTTTTGTGTGATGGTTATTTATGATAATGTTGAATGTTGTACTGTGGGATTGGAATGTGATTGAATTGTTGAGGATGCATGAGTCCATGTGTGGGATGGTGATGTCTAAGAGTGGTGTTATGTTGGTACCCGCGCGGGGAGTTTAAAACGGTGCCCAAATGCCCTGTCTAGGCTTATCGCTGGACGAATGTGGGAAAAAAGTTTTGGGTGTCTACACAGTCCCGCCGTATAGTAGCCAGCGAAAGAGGAAAAACAGATGATTTTCTAGGGTGCCTACTTCCTGCCGTATAGTAGCCGGCGAATGTGGGGGTTGTCATCGAAAATAATAGGGTTATTTTCAGTTGGACTCAAGTAGAAAATGCGTGGTTTAATTTCTATAATGGTAGATACTAAATTGTGTACATGATGATGTTAGTAGCACTTGTCATATTACATTATAGTGTTCCTGTATGATTCATTGACGGCTTCTTGTGACAATAAACCTTATTGTGATGTTTTATCTCATAGATGCCATAATATTGTTCAAAGGATTAGATACGTGGATAAATGTATTCCTATTGGGCATATGGCTCAACCCTAATTTGTTTTTCAGGAATCGAAGAAGGTCAACCTCGTTGAAGGATTGGCGCAAGCACCAACCTTGTTTTCTTTTGGGGAGCTAATAGAAGTCTAGGGCTTTTAGTTGTTTTGCATTTATTTTGGGAATTGTGTAACAAAACTATCTTTTGTATTTGTAATGTTGTACGCCCAAGGGGTTTATGTTTTGTTAAGTTATCTAGCTCACCGAACTAAGAGAAGACTTTGAACATCATGGAAATGCACCATATGAAGTGTAGACACTCAACTTTTAGTTCAATGGGAAAGATGACCTTTTTGGGATTTTATGATCATGTTAATAGTGTGTATAACAGGGTGAATTTACAGGGCGTTACACATATGCTATTGAATTATCGATTGGTTTATCTCTGATTTATTCTCCATTATTGTTCATATATTAGTAATGCATATGTCGATTCCAAAAAGGTAGATGGGTCGGTTGTGTCCAATTTGTGGTTGGTATTTTGGATTCAATACTCAACCAACTATTTTAGACATAGATCATGAATTCATTCAGTATTAGGAACATGCCAGCTTGTTTGTTGGTTTGATACTATGGATTCAATTAAAGTTGGTTTGTAAATTGCAAGTTTTATTTTGTTCTTTATAGTAAATTGGTTGGTTAGAGTAGGTCCATGATTTCTCCCAGTTGGGTTTTCAATTTTAAAAAATTATGAATCTTCTTTGTGTGTGGTTGATTTAACTTTTATGTTTGTGATTTAAATTATGTGATTAAATTAATAAGCATACCAACATCACTATAATGAATTTTGTTTTCAATGATGATTTTTTTTTCTTTTTTGGTCTCCAAAATGCTAATTTCTTCGCTATAGATATTCGTGCGGAAATATTTTGGTCGCCAGTTTCATCACTGTATATTTGCTGCAAAAAATCATTGTAAGGAAAAATGATTTGGTCAACAATAATATACTTTAGAGACAAAATTTTTTGTCACTAATTAGACAACATTTCCTTGCAAAAATTCATTAATTTTGTCATCGTATATATAACTATTGTTGACAAAAAATTTTGTCACACATGTTGATCATTGGCAAGGAAATAATTCATCCCAACAATGTGTAAAAATGATGAAATGTTTCATGTGACGGCTATGTTTAGGTGACCGCTCATGCAAAGATTTGTAGCTCTTAGTATCTCGTAGGTTTGCAAGCGAGACTACTCGAGCGAAGGATTGGTCGCTTGAGCGTAGAATGCGAACTTCCAGTATTTTCACTGTAGCTATGCAAACTTCTAAGACCTTGCGTTTACCGCTCAAGCGGTATCTTTGTATTTTGGTACTTCGCTCGAGTGAAGGAAAGTGCGCTCGAGCGGTTTGTTTGGGATCAGCCAGTATAAAAGCCACTTTTTGCTCATTTTCTCTCATTTCTCTCCCTCCTCTCTTCATGTCCGTAAACCCTAGCCACAAAACCTTTGATTTCATCTTATTATACCAGGGATCCACCTTAGATCATGCAAGATTAGTGAAAAATGAGTGAGGATCTTCTTTTTGGCCGATTGGATTGCAATTTTGTCAGAGTTGATGCTTAGGTCTTCGTTGTTTGCTCACCTTCTTAAGGTAGGAAGTTCTCTTAACTCAATCAATTATGATTTTGTTTGATTTTGATGTATTATGGGAAGTATGGGTTGATTTGAGTTTGAAATTTTGATTAAAATAAGTTCATATTTCAAAATTGGGGTTTTCACCCAAACTTTTGAAAGATTTAGAATGTTTTGGTACATTGATGGTTAATACATGATGATTTGAGGATTTAACAAAGAAATGAGGAAAACCCCTAATTTTATTGAAAACCCTCAAACTAGGGTTTTTAAATTAAAAGAGGGTTTGAGTTAATCGATACCTTACGTTGAAAATTAAAGTGTTTTTTCATGTTAATAAGTGTGTTGGATAACTTTATTATCTATGATGATATTTATTTGTGATTTAAATAAGTTGAATTGTGTGAATACTTGGAATTGTGAAATGATGTAAGGTAATGTTTTGCATGGGTTGATGGTTGGTAAAGAGTAGGATGTGGAGTCTTGAAAATGAGAATAGTTCATCAGATTTTATTTGTTGAACTCTTGTGCAATTAAAAAGGAATTTTGGGATAAATAGGAAGTTTTGGAAACTCATGCATTGCATTGCAATTCCATGGTGTTGGATTAAATATTGGATTATTTAAAGGTGTGTGTGTGGTTTCGGAATGTGTTGTGTGTGTGAGGTGCCCAATTGCCCTTCCGTGCTCGGAGGCCGAAAAATGTGGAGATGTCATTGGTATTCTAGTAAAGGTGCCCAATTGCCCTTTCATGCTAAATGCTGGTAAATGTGGGGAAAATGTTGAAATGATTGATGGGTGTTCAATTGCCCCTTCGTGCTCGGTGGCTGGAAAATATGGAGATGTTTTTGAAATGAAACGGG